TATTGCTTCTGTAAATGTAAATGTTGCACTTGTGTGCTTTTGTTTGTTTTTAATTCAAAGGAGTAAAAAACTAAATCTAAAATACACTTTTTTACAGACTGCGTCATTATTAAACATCTCACTTCCTTGTCTGCTTGGACGTAAGTGCCCCCGTAGTTATACGTCTGGGACTTTAAGTAAACCTATAGGCGGGTTTATTTCCCATCATTAGGCATCATACATATTCAATAGCACCGCGGATGAAAGACTGAAGGAGTTACAGGGCAGAAAGCCAGTAATGAGGTTACTCCTGCTTGCAAGAGATTATGCACAGAGCTCTCCTTGACTACAAAAGATCAGAGGACAGTAGACTAAGAACCTGATGGGGAAAGCCTTCAGAGTTAATTAGTCAATGCAGCAGAACAAAATTCTGAATCTCTTTGTTACAAAAGGACTGTTTATTAGGTTTTCTTGATGGAGCCAGAAATGGTTAAAATCGCTGAATTGCCCACATCATGTACTGTATATCTGCACTGCTGTTTTCTCCCAGTGGAAATAGGAACTCTCCATGGTGCTGAACACAGAACCACATTCACAGCTGCAGGCTTTGTCTATACATTTCTTGTACTCCACACTCATACAGTGGATGGACAAGCTTGATCTTAGGGATTTTTTTTGTATTATTATTATTTTTTTAAATGTATTAATTTTTTTGTATGGGATAGTATTAATGTAGCCTAGGGCTAATTTTTATTCCTTGTCCACTCACAAACACACACTGATTCACTCTGAACATACATGTTTTTAGTGGTTGGTGAAACCGGAGCACCTGGAACAAACATATGCACACATAGGGAGAACATGTAAATTCCACACAGAAAGACTTGTCTGGCCCTGGCATAAAACGCAAGACTTTCTTGAAACATGAGCGCTAACTGCCACCATTCTGACCAACAAGATAAAAATGACAGCTTTGATAAAAAAGCAAACTGGAAGTCCCACGAGACTTGATGAAAAATTACTTTCTATAAGCACTTTATGTTCTTGATGTTTTTTGAATTGAGAAGAAAACAGCCTCTGTTTTCTTTATCTTTGCTCAAGGATTTCAGGAGCAAAAGCATCTGTGCTGTACATGCATTTACATTAGTGCCACAGAAGCAAGTACCCTAGATCCAGCCTGAGGGACTAGACTCCTTCATTTGTCTTCATCTGCTGCGCTGTAAACGCCTCTTCACTTACACTCAAACTCATTACTCACAATGGCAGCCATTTGAATCTTTTATCAGAGGGATTTTTAATTGAACATTGGCAAATGTGTTTCAAACGAATTGCCCAACATAAATGCAAGCAGTCAATGTGGGTGATAAATATTTATTGTACGTTTTAGCACTGTGTCAGACATCTGTTTCTCAAAAGGTTATACTTTAGATGTCAACCCACACGAACAATGACAAGATTTCTATAAAGGCACTCACTTTATTAAAGCCAAATCAGAAATTGGCTCTAATACACTATAACCAAGCACCCAGCAATCTCACACAAAGAGTGGCTTTGCTACAGATGCACCTGTACAGTTCCTCAGTTGTATTATTTTATCATTTTTGCATTCCTCTTAGGGGTGGGAACCTCACGATACGATACGATACACGATACAAAGCTCACGATAACGATATTATCACGATAACGATATTATCACAATAACGATATTATCACGATAACGATATTATCACGATAACGATATTATCACGATAACGATATTATCACGATAACGATATTATCACGATAACAATATTATCACGATAACGATTTTATCACGATTTGACGATTATTTATATATTGGTCAGAAATATACAATATGCCAATTAATGGCATAAATAAAAGAAAAAATACTAGAATGGAGATGCGTAATGTAGCCATATATTAAGTATTGATACCAATTAAAAAAAAATGAATTGGTATCAATTTTTAAAAAAATCAATATCGATACTTGGCAAATGCATATCAATAATCGAATCGCGGGAGAAAGTATCGCGATATATCGAAAAATCTATATATCGTCACACCCCTAATTCCTCTAGTGAATCTTAGTTATTTTTCAAATTGTGAAGAGAGTGAGAAGCTACATGCGCCAGCTTGACCCGCCCATGCTCATCCTCACTCTTCCTAATTAGGCAAAATTAATTGAAAACCTTGCCGTTGGTCTTACTGGGCTATATTGAAGGACGACTAAACACCTGTGCCCAGCCTTACTCCGCCCCCATGAAAATTTGAACATTTTCTCTAAAAGGGCGTTGCCTGGAGGACCAGGGGACAAGAAGGGGGGCTTACAGTTGGCCGTGGTCTGGGCTGTGATTGATAGGCTCGCTTGTCAATCACAAAAAAAATCAGACAGTTGTCATTGCTGCTTAAAGCAATAGTTTACACACCAGTAATTCTCATTCCACCCTTGTTTACACAATTGTAGAGCTACACACCTGAACCTAAGCCACAGAATTATCTCAGCCGTAGTAACGGTCAACTAATATCATTTATTTTAAACCACTAGATGTCACCAGAATACTCCAACTCGCTACTGGGGCATGTGTGAGAGTTGGATGCATGTCACAAATACCAACTGACGTCACACAGTACTCCAGAGACAATGGAGAGGCCATGCACCACATTAAAATGTAGTGCTTACAAAAAGGTATAGAGGGCGCCACACAAACGGTTTTAGGCTCAAAAGTGAGATTTGATTTAATTTGCGCTAACATGTCAAACAAATGACCAGGACATGTAGCGAACACTATAAGAATTTTTTTTGCAGTTTGTGAGTTAAAAAAAAAGTTGATTTGGTGTTTAGTTCATCCTTTAAATATATATTTTGAAAAATACTTCCAGCTTACTACTACATATTATATGGTCAAACATATGCATGCCGTTTTTTCTCCTAAAACACATTTTTTGTGAATTTTCTTTCGATTTTATTTCAGGTGTCGATAATCGCGATCTACAAAAGTTGAGATTGCGATTCTTCGACTTTTGGTACATCTCCATGGAGAAGTAGGGTGCCTTCACAAAAAAGTTAGTGATTAAAGCTTCTTTTCTAAACTTATTTGTACACGTATACACTGCAAAAGAGGTGCTTCCAGAATCCAGGCCGTGATCTGGATAACCAAAATCAAATACTTTGTTCCTTGGCCCATTCTAGGCTTTCGTGTAAATGTCCTAAAAATCCGTCCATAACATTGTCGTTATAATATGCAGACAGCCCAGCAAATAAACAAACAAACCCTGGTGAAAACATTACCCCGATAAGCATTGTTATTTGGTTGTATATTTTCTGGCCAAACTTTGTCACAACTGGACCGGTCTTCTTTCACTGACTTGACCTTTGTTGCTCACTTTGCTATAAACTCACAGAGCCTGGAGCAGCAGATGTGGCTGTGTGGAAGAACAGAGGTTTTTTTCTGTTTGAGTGAATGTCATCATGCTGGACATATTCAGCCATTGTCACGTGCTGCAGGATGTATTTTTCTATTCCCTTTTTTCAGAGCCAAATTTAAAGACTCGTGAGGGAGTCAGGATGAGGAGGATGTGTGTTTGTGTGTGTGTCTGCAAAGAGCACACTGACACAGTTAAAATCCTGTTTAATTCTTTATGCTAATCTCAGAACAGCTGCACTTTCACTCTAGTCCACAGTGAGGATGTTCCTTGTCCACTAGTGATGAACAGAGAATCGGCTATGTGATGTAACACTTAAGATCCTCGCCGCTGCAAGAAGAGTGCAATTGTGGGCTATCCATTACAACAGCTTCCCCAAGGTGCACTTCAAAGTTCACCATAATGCATGTAGGCTTGTCACAAATTGTTAAAATTAGCATTCAAACCAAACAGAATGAGTTTAAGCAGCATTTAGTGAGATATCACTTTTGGTCCACTCACTCTTCCTTACTTCACGTTTAATGTTTTTTTTTGTAATAAAGTCTCCAGTAAAATAAAATATGCAGATATTTTGCAATCCTTGTTTAGTTGATGTCAAACATTGTATTAATAGAACTGTAATTGCGTCTTCTCTGGCTTTCCTGACGTAAAATCAGTGACCATCGAGACATGGTCACTGATTTTACCTAAAGATTTTCTTTTCTGAATTTGTAATACTCACCTGATTCGTCAGGATTACACTCAAAGGAATAAGAACAACTAAAGGCTATCTTGATCTGGGGTTGGAGATGTTTCACTGACCTGCTGTAAAGAGGTAGAGGACAGAGTGATACAAAAGATCTGAATACAGAACCACATGAACTTGTTGCTTTTATAATATTGCTTTAACTCATTTTTTTATATCAAGTGTTCTAGTATACAATCATAGGCCATGGATTGTCTTTGAAAACCATGTAGCAAACAGAAGCGTGTCGTGTCTTTCTGAAAATTGGCAGTGCCTGGAGTTCATCACACATTAAACATGTGATGTTTAATGTTGCCGGACTCATGGAAACTGAATGGGTCGCTCACAATCCTGCTTTGTCTTCAATGTAATTTTTGGTGTTCACACGTTGTTCTGGTTAACTTTAACTGGACTGATTCTTGTTCTCTTGACAAAAGTAGTGTTTTAACAAGTGAGCAAGTCAGTTTACATCTTTTCAAACAGATCCAGATCCAACCAGACCAACAAGTGTGAACACGCCCTTTGACATGAACTTGGTTTGGCCTATATTCTCCAATATTCATTGATTAAATAGTATCTAGATTAAACTAGATTTCTTTGTCACTTCTGAAGTTAACTTCTATGCTGCTCATTCATTACAATACATTATCCACTCTGGCCAGTGTTGGGAAAGTTAAATATTGTTATACATATATATTACTCATGCAAAGTGGGAGTAATAACAAAAGCACTGTGTTTATGTTTTTATTCAGTGAAATCATGTATTAATGCTGAGCTATGAGTTTAGATTTTTTTTCTTCATATTTCCATGTCTTAATGTTTCAGACACACTTTAACACTTGTCTTAAACAGCTTTTGTTGTCTTTGTTCCCAGGAGACTGAGATCAGCACCAAGAAGAAGGAGTGTGAAGCACTCGAGGCAGAGGTGAAGAAGAGGAATCAAACATGTCAGACTTTGGTAAGTGCTCCAAAAATACACCTCTGGTCTCTGAGCCAAAGGACGGGGGCTACAAATTGATTTGTACCTGAGAGGTTGACTCGCTCTCCCCACACACTGATGCCCCCCAGAGAAAACAATTCCATGTCTCCGATACTTTGATTGAAATTGAGAGCTGTTAATCAAGAGTTTTGTTTACAGAGAGCAATGTACTGTCAATGAGAACAAGGCTACAATGGACAGAGGGAAAATGTGTGACAGAATTTATAATACTAGGACAATTCTCACTCAGAGCTCTTTTAAAGATTGTTTTACCAGTGCACTATAAATGTCAGCTTGACTCTTTGGGTGGCTGTGATGTCAGACTCAAGACAATGTAGTTGTTGAGTGCATTAGGCAAAAGTGGCCTCGACCATTGGAAGACATTTGCCTACCATGTATAGGTTTTTTTTTTGTCTGTACTAATAAACAATATAATGGTATGCCAATAATTGATGTTCCTCACTATCTTTGGAACAAAACTAGAATGGCCTTATGGAAAACAGGAAATTGGGACTTTTGGCAAAACATTTCTAAATACATTTAAGTAACGCTGTTCATTTGATACTTCTGCAGTTGGAAATAATTCAGCCTTTCTGCCTATTTTGGAGAATACAAGTATGTAATTTGGCCATTGTCCACTTTCTCTTCCAAGCCCATCCCCTTATCCGCTGTCAGATAGAGTAGTCTAAAGGAAGTTGCCCAAGGGGTAACCTCTCCCCAAATGCACACACAAATGGCAGGCAGGTCCCAACAGACCACGGTGCTGCTCTTATCTCCTCCTGCAGCGGACTCTCACATCAGACGCTCAAATCCAGACCACTGCACACTATTGTGAGTGCTGCACCAGTTGACAGTAATGTCACCTCGGGTTTGGTTTGAACTTGTTCACCGAAAAATCTCCTTGTTTCTTTTGTCCTATTTCCATTTAGACCTTAGAGAATGTTTATAGCACTTAATACAGAATTACATTCAGCTGTACTGCTTCACTAAACTCTGGTAGCATTAAGTCCATGTGTACTCAAGAGTTGATCTGCTGTGTATGTAAACACACGTCTGAGTGACAGTGACGTCTAAGAGTGACAGTAAACACTGACATTGCCATCTGCCAGTTCCACCTTCTTTAGTTGCTGTTATCAGACCATCAGCTGAGATGTGCCATTTAATGCCTGTTACCATGGTTCTCTTAGCTCTGACAAAATTACTTATAGTGACTATGTAATGATGCTGTTCTCTGTCAAACTTTAAATTCTGACTCATGATAAAAGCGTAAAATTTCCCTTCTGTCAGTTTGACTGATGTTTTGACATGTATTGTACATGTATATAGTTTTGATATAAGTGTCACTGTCATTGTAGGTGGTCAGAGAGGCTGATGTCTCAGAATGACACATCTGTATGAAATATTAACGGCTTGCACTGACTTTGAAGACTTCTGAGAGGGCACTAGGCATGGCTAAAAGACACTGTATATGAACACTGTAAAACACTGTAAAAATGGTACATCTGAGGTGGAAATGCAATTGAGAGGGGCGTCAGTTCAGTGGTGGCAGTCTACAGTACCTGTCTGTGTCTGGCTGCTGAATAAGGCTTCATAAGCAGAGGAGTCCAGTGAGCAGAAACTATGTGGGTGAATTGCTTTGCCAGTGTTTTAAATGGCAGAGTTGAATCATCCGTCAGGCGTGCTGAAATTAAACGCTTTGCTCTGGCACACAGGGCTGAGTCAGACTATGTCTGAACTAAACAAATATCTTCCTGACTAGTGCTTCTAAACAGTCACTAAACTTACTCTCGCTTTCATCTTTGAAAATCAAAGATTGAAAATCATGTTGAAAAACTGTGATCGTATGGCATCGTGATTTAATTTTGGGTTGAAACTTGTTCTCCTTCTGCAGGCCACCTCATATTGGATGTGAAAGGAGAAATCAATGGATATGAATAACAGGCATGGCCATTTAAGGGCTTCCTTTCGAGCATTGAAATTTACAAGGCACAACTGAGACCCGTTGAAATGCCAATATCTGTTGCAAGTGTCTTGAGCATGTCTGTCATTGTTCCTATTAGCTTTTTGTGGAGTATGTTTATTTTTATATATATTTTTAAATAATGAAAATCATAATCCTATTAAATATACCGCAGACAATTGAATTCACATTGATTCATGCTTTATAATATAAGCAGTTTATTTATGGCTAAAATAGCATTCCTTTGTATTCTCCACAAACGTATGCATGTATTTTCCTCAGCGCTGTCAGCATATTTTGCCTTTCGAGAACATACCAGAGAACTGCCTTCCAGGTTAAATAATACATGAGATATCGCTGACCAACAACGCTGAGTACTCTTGTTTTCTGCGTACTTTGTTTTAGGAGAATGAGCTCCAGGATTTTCTCCATGAAAACAAACACTTGAATCTGCAGTTGTTCAACAGCACCTACAAAACATCTGAATATGAGAGGGTAAGTAAAGGCCTTAGGTGGCGACTCTCCAAGAGCATTTTCAATGTGTTTAACTTTTCATGAAATCAGCCATGACTTTACCTAGGAACATTTTGCAATCCAGTTTAAGTGTATTTATCACATAGGGAAACGGACACATAATTTGTCTTCGAAGCTGAAAAAGCAGAGAGAAGAACTAGGTCACCGCTTCTTCAAAACTGTAGCCTTGTGGGATGTCTCCAGCCCACAGTGGGCATTGTTATAGATTGTGATAAATAAAAAAATAGATTGTACTTAACTGTAGCTGTTTGGTTCTATTACCAAAAGAAAACATGGACACCAATATTCATGGCTTAATCATAATATGTCGGTTCCTTATATTTGTTGTTCTTATCTAAGGCAGGGATTAAAGTCATGTTCTACTGGTGACTTACATTTTCCAGTTTTGCTTCTTAAAATTTAAATTTGAATAGCTGACCGCACAAGCCCACATAGATGAACCAAGTCCTTCTCCACAAGAGGTAGATTGGCAGCTTATTGTCAAGGGACTGGACTAAAGAAGTGCTGGTTATGGAGGTCTTATCCGGGTTGGGGTGTAGAAGCTTCTGTACCTCATGTTATCAGTTTTGCAGATATGAGCCGTTCTCCAGTGCATATATGAGTCCTCTACTCACTCACCCTTGTCCTGATCACTATCATTTCTGAATGAACTGCAGCAAACAGCTATGCGCTGCATGGCTAATAGTCTATTGACCTGCTTATATACAGTCCAGTGGATTTCTGCAAGCATTGAATCTGACAAGAGCTCTGGTTGATATAGCAGGCTATATACATTTCTTGTTGTGCTTGTCGGAAACGCCCTCTCGGAGCATCATTAGTCATTGATGGCGGCTCCTGGGAAGGGATTTACTCTACCATATTACAGCAGAACCCTGTTATCTTTCAGTCAATTGGAGCTATTTGAAAAGCTGACAGGACAACTCCACCTTTTAAACCACAAAAGCATACAGATGCACTCATTTAAAATGTCAGGCAACCGCTGGCTACAAATGGTGTATTAAATGTAACTACTTCTACTTTGTACTGGAATTATGAATTGTCCTGTTAACTTTAATTATATATTTACAGATACTCAACTGCAATCATTTCCATCCTGAAAAACTGTATTTTTAAGCATTTGAGCTTCAGCATAGATAGAGACTAATAGAAACAATCTCCTTTTGAAATGCTAATGCAATGTGTAAAACCACTTTAGTGTTGATTTGTAATACATAGTCAATGTAATATGCAATTCCCTCATTCAATTTCTGAGCGTTTAGTTTACATTGAACCATAAATAATGCCTCCATGGCAGTTAGTAAATAATGTCACTGTTACATTTGTGAAATCGTCTTTTTATCACCACAGCCACCAGACAGCTGCCTCATATGGCATGGACAAGTCATTGGCGGGCCCAAACACTTAGATTAATGGCAATCTGTTTTTTCTGTGTAGTGCCAGAAATATGGGCACAATAGCACCATTGACTTGTTGTCGATTTGTATTTCTATACATTTCCAAGGATTTTTTCCAATTCTGAATTACTCTGTGTTGCATAAAATGATAAACACGCATTTGTTTTCATTTTTTTTTCTTACTTCGGCTATATAGATACAGTATGTGTGTGAGATCTTAAAAAAAAGTACTGCTAACATTTAACTAGAGATATCCTTACAATTATTTGCATATTATATTTTTAACACACTGCAATGAGAGAATCTTCTGAATCAGATCCGAATTTGACCCAAAAGTTTGTATATTGTCATTGTAAGTAAGAGGAAGTCACAAACTATTAACTTTCTATGGCTCAAGGTGCAGTTAATATAGATATAAGGAATACATAGAAAATCTTAATAAAATGTCTCTTGGAAACATCTTTATAAAGTACAAAATCCCCTTCCACTGCTTTGCAGACGATCTGCAGATATACTTGCCCCTTAAATCAGGCAGCACTCCTGCCGTGCTGCAGTGTCTCCAGGATGTTCAAACATAGTTAGCCCTTAACTTTCTTAAACTTAACAAAAGTAAAACCGAAGTTGTTGTGTTTAGCAATTCCAATTTCTCTGGATCCACTGATGTTGTCCTTGGCCCATTAGCTCCACACACTCAGACTGTGGTTAAGAATCTTGGTGTTCTAATGGACAGCTCCTTTAAGCTGGACAAACAAATCACTTCTGTTGTGAAAACCAGCTATTTCCAACTGCGGGTCCTTAGTAAAGTGAAGCCTTTTCTTCCCTTTGATAAGTTTGAGGAAGTTGTGCACATGTTCATATCGTCTCGTCTCGACTACTGCAATTCTTTGTACTGTGGTCTAGACCAGACGTCTCTTCATCGTTTGCAGCTCATGCAAAATTCGGCTGCTCGTTTGCTGACAGGGACCAGGCGTAGAGAACACATCACACCTGTTCTGTCGTCTCTGCACTGGCTCCCTGTCAGCTTTCGTATCCACTTTTAAATGCTGCTTCTGCTTTTCACATGTCTTTATGGTCTGGCCCCAGCCGAGTTGCTGTCCCCTTACACTCCCGGCTGAAAACAAGAGGTGACCGGGCTTTCTCTGCAGCTGCTCCTAAACTCTGGAACAGCCTCCCCTTGTCTATTCGAAGCGCCTTTGGCAACTAGGAGGTGTTGCACTGCTGTAATATTTGTTCTGTTTCTACTATAGCCTTTTATTTATTTTATTTATTTTTGTGTATTTGATGTATTATACTGTGCAGTGCTTTGGGCAGCGATTGTTGTTATTGTGCTATAGAAATAAACTTGTCATTGACATTGAGTTAAACAGTCATGGTTTGTTCATGTTTTTGTCAAAATAGCATTTTTGTTTTTGTTTTGGTCGAGTTACTTATACATGGTATATGTTGTTTGTTGATTTGTGAAATATGTACTCACTCTTACTAGTTACAAATGTGTATTTTGTTTAGAGAAAGGAACTAATGGTTCTGTCTGTCTGTCTTTTCTACAGGTGAAGTGTGAGTATGCCCTCCTCAAAGACAGACTGTGTGCTGTGACGCAGGAGAGAGATTTAGCTGTGTGGGAGAGGAACCAGCTCCAAGGCAAACTGGAGAACCTAGAGCAGGTGCTTAAGGTAAGGAGCATATCTTTAACAAGCTCTGACACAAACACATTATGTATGCAGGAAGACATTATTATTATTTATATAGGAGTTCATACAACTCAATGCACTTCACAATAAAACACAAAACAAATCTTCAGTTTACTCTTAAAAGGTGTCAGGGCCGGGGCACATTGACTATCATCAAGCAGAGTGTTTTATTTACAAGGAGCATCATGGGGGAAAGCAGCTTCAACCACCTTCAGCCTCAAAAGTCAATGGTCAGGTTGAGGTCTGAGGATCTGAGACAAGCGCACATGCTCACTAGCCTGGCTAACGCCAGACGAAATATCACAAGTGAAGTTCGAAAGGATTCGAGCGCACACAGCAGTCTGGCGTTCGCCAGGCTACATGCTCACATGGAAAAAGTAAATCAAATTTAAAGTGTTTAGGGCTTTATAGATAATTGTAAGTAGTATTAAACTGAGAGCCAGTGGAGATCCCTGAGAACAAGTGTATTTTGAGATCGTTTTGTTTGTGCCTTGCCTTTTCTGTCTGTGATCAGACACTGTTGTGATTGTGTCACAAGTAGACTTGTAAAATACAAATATGACAAACGTATACATGTAACATAAACATGTGTGGCCAGGCAGACATGGATCACATTTAATTAATTATTCTTACTTATTCTCACTGTAAAAACATTTTTAAAGCACTACGATCCTCTATAATTGAGGAATGTACATGTAACATTAGCAACGTTAAAAACCATTGCTAATTCTCTGATGCATTACAACTGATTATATATATTTTGGAAATGATTCTATTACTATTTTAAAAGTTTACACTCAGAATGGAGGTAGTTTATTTTATTGTAAGAATACTTACAGCAGCTTTTTCTTTTCCCTCCCTCAATCCCTTCTCGACATTGTGACTCCCCTGCGGACAGCATATGCGAGAGGCTGCAGAGCGGAGGCAGCAACTAGAGTTGGAGCATGAGCAGGCACTGGCTGTACTCAATGCAAAACAGCAGGAGATTGACTTGCTTCAAAAGGTAAGTGCACTCCCTTTATGTAACAAATCATATCGCCCAATGTCCGGTACAATACATACACCACAGAAATTAATTCTGACTGTATTTGAACCAGGGATAGAAGCGCTGTTTCCCAATGGTGGTTCTGCAAAAGCTTTCCTAGTACATCTCAAAAGTCATCTATCACTCGTAGCCCACTGTGCTCCATCTCCCACAGACTCCACTGTTCATTAAAATCTAATCAAACAGTCAAAGACTTAATAGGATCTGACACTTTTTGGACACTTGCTTAAGCAAAAATCTAGGCCTGGACATTTGAAGATAACTCCTGTGTGGTTTAGCTAGTTGTTGCCACTCTGAGCAGAGATTGTTGATAGTGTGAAGGTGATAGAGATTGTGGCCAAGCTTCTTGTTGAAGCCTTGTGTGTAGCTCAAGTGCCTCCTTTTGTCAGTTCTCAGTGGTCTGTTACTGTGTTACTGTTGGACGTGTTTGTTTTTTCTTCTGTCTGATAATTGACAACATATTTGATAGTGAGAGTGAAAGATTGTTTGTCTTGGCACTGGATATAAGATGTTGCTTGGGTATTTTTTAGAGGTTGACCAAAATTGTTGACCAAAGGGCCACTACTGATACCAATAATTCGATGTCAAGGAGGTCGATAACCAATACAAAGGTGATATTTACAGTAAAGGTGAAGATATATTGTATAAATGTTAAATAATACAAGCTCCAACACATACATATTTAATACAACAAATAAGACAAATGTATATCAGTTAGGTAACAGATCTCCAGGTCACAGTTGCTGAGTTGTAATTGTTGTAATTTTATCCAAATGAAGTGTCCTGTTATTTAAGTTACTTTTAATCAAACATTTTCATTTCTCTTGTTCATTCATTTGAGCAAAAATAGTTACATTTTTATATTCATCGTATTTTCTTCTACTGTACATATACTATACATGCACATGCATATACATACATATACATAAGCCATATTTAACAGTTTAACCATGTGCTGATATATTTACAAATCTATTTAAAACTTTATTCATAAATGATCAGCTCGAAACGGAGGGGAAAGAAGAAAGACATATAAAAACCTAAATACATATAAAAACCTATGTGACCGTGCCCTATAGACTCTCACCCCATGTCCATAATTTACTTTTTTATGGATACAGTAATGGAAGAATGATTTTTGTTTCAGTCATACCCAGCTTGGTTTAAACCATAAACTGTATGTAGACAATGCAACCCCCCATGCTCAATGAAGCCCAATGGGGAGTTTTGCTCCTCATTGACTTACATTGAAAAGTAAACTCCTCTAGCTTTGTAATCATTTGAGTCTCACTAATCATTTATCTCTGGTCTAGCACTCTCTATGATCTTGGTGTTTATATGTGGATATTGTCTTTGTAAAAAGTGATATAAGGATTGACCAATCAGATGCCTTCATTTGTGGGGGGGGAACTCCACCTTGCCTTAGTATCCATGTTAGCAGCACGTCTGCCCCTGTTGCGACATAACGCTGTCAAAACAAATGCTTTTTCTGCATTCCGCAAACACTACGGTGACAGCACTCGGTCAGTCAACTCCTAAAATACGGTCTATGGTTTTTAGACACACATACAATAATAATAATAATAATAATAATAACAATAATAATAATGCATCAGTTGTATATTGCGCGTTACCGCACAATAAGTGGGACTGTGGTATATGAGTATATGTTTGTGTTTAGTTTAGTTAAAAAAATCAGGAATGAAGATTCGCAAATCAATTACTACAGATCGGGTGCGTTGGAGGAGAGGCCTGTACAGCTTACAGTTGAACAAGGATAATTATTATTAAAATATATTGGCAGGTGATCAACAACAGCAGCTCTTTCATTCAGAAACTATCGCACCAAAATCAAATCAAATGTATTTATAAAGCACATTTAAAACAGGCAAAGCTTATACCCAAACAAAAAACCTGAACTTAATTTCTTAATTTCTGAGTTAAAACGTTGTTCAAATGTTTGTTTTTGATAATTTGTAAAAACATATATCACATGTAAGTGAACAGGAATATAAAATGATGTTGTAAATTAAAATAAACAAAGCCTTCAGTGAACTTACACACTGATCATGTACTCCTCAGGCACAGGTTGAGGCTAAAAAGGAACATGAGGGCGCTGTCCATCTTTTAGAGGTGAGCGTTGACAATGGATCTGCTTTATGGGACTTAATGTTCACTATTTCACTTTTTTATGCTCTGTTTCCAATTACAATTTACAATCTCAAAGTGAAGATTATGTCTTTTATTATTGCTGTTAAACTCAACTGGGTAAAATGACTTTTAATAGCATGATAAGGATTATTGTCTTCTGAACACCATTTTTTTTCTTTATGTTTAAACGTGAACACACAAGTATATGTGCTAATTTTCTTTTTTATATTTCTTTGCACTGTATGGCTGTGTGGTTATGCATATACAGAACCACTTGGACAGCATGCAGGTATTGCTGAATTGCTTTCATTTCTCTATTTGTTATTATTTCACGTGCACCGTCCACGCTTGCCCTGTGCCTCACACTTTACTTCACTATATACAGAGACTCAACAGCCGCAGCTCTGAACGGCTGCAAATATTCAATCTGCTTTGGAATCAGGGTTAACTTAAAAGTTTTAGGGGGATTTTAGTTACCGTACTACTTCTATCACATGCAACTAAAAAGACGGATGCAATGGAGATCAGAAATAAAAATACATATACCATTTTAACTAAAATTGATATCTGCATTAAATCCATCAGTCCTGTTTTCACAAACTTAGAAAAAACAGCGAGCCATATTCTAGTATCTTGTTTACAATAATTAACTTATTAAAAAAGAAATTTAACTGTGATGCTGCATGTTTTAGCATGTCTTTTCAGATCACAGTCTTGTCATGCTTCTCTCAATGTTTTCTCCTTTTGTATTATCTAGTAATTTATAATTAATAATGATGAATGTTACATTTTAGCCTGCACATACAGTGGCTTGAAGTAAAAATACAACTTTTGTGACATGTTTACAACCACAAACATAATGATATTTATGTGAAAGACAACGGTGAAGTGAATGTAAAATTGTACAGGATTTTGAAAAAAAATATTAAATAAATAAAAACAGAAAATGGGCTTGCACAAGTAGCTCTACAAGCTGTGCACATCTAGAGAGAAAACCACTCAAGCTCCGTTAGAATAGATGCAAAGGATTTGTGAACCGCAGTTTTAACAGATTTTCACTTGGATTTAGGTCTGGACTTTGACTGAGCTGTTCCAACACATGGCTATTTTTTAAACCCTTCCGTGTATGAAAAGTAAATTGCAGTGTTGTACTATTTCCATTTCTGAATAATGGATTTACTATGCTTTAAACTTCTCCACAGCTTCATCTCGGACCTCTCTTTCTTAGTCCCTTAGACTTCATGATTCTGTTTAGTAGAAATACTCTACACACTTTCATTATTTGGCCATATATTAGCATTCAGTGGTCAGAGAAATTCTTTTGCTTTCTTTTTTATTTGAGCAACAAACAATACTGTTTATAAAAGAAACATTATTACAGGTTTATTTGCTACTCAAAAGGATTACCTAATAAGAACTTGAGCCCCTACGCCTCATGCCTGTTTGTGGTCATAAACATGACAAAAAGTACAACAACTTTTGCTTTAGTACTTTTTGCTTTTGTATTTTTTTCAAGCCACTTAAGTACCATGTTGTATAAACGGTTTATACAAATGCCTTTTTGCTCACTCCCTGCATGCTTTATGTAGTGCTTTAATGCTAGCAATTTATACATATTTTAACTTGTTTTTCTCACATCTCCTTCCTTGTGCTTTGGTCCATCTTTCTGGTTCCCAACTTTCTCCCACTCTTTTCCCTGGATCTATGGTATTACTGATCATCAGGCAAAAGTCCAGGACTTAGAGGAAAAATGTCGGAGCCAGAGCGAGCAATTCAATCATTTATCGAAAGAGCTGGAGAAATTCCGACTGCACACGGGGAAGTTTGACATCCTCAGTACTGAACCAGTATCTGTGTGTGAATCACCTGGCTCACCCCACAAGTCCCTGTCTCAGCTGCTCAATGGATTGGCTGCTCCCACAGGAAAAGGTTTCATTATTATTTTAGTCCACATAAAAAAATAAAAAAATAAATAAATGTGGTTGTGTGTATATTTATATATTTATGTATGTTTTTATTTGTTTATGCATTGTATTGGTTTCAGGAAATGAGGTCCCTTCGACTAGGTCTTTGATATCAGAGTTTATTCGGCCTCTGCAGCTGAGTGGAGACAAACCCGATCTTCTCTCAGTCAAACCAACATTCCTCACCAGGTCCGGGAGCAGCTCTGCGCGGGCATTCCTCTCGGAGGTATTTCTGTCATCTACTTCCATATTTTTGTACTTCATGCCCACATAATTGTGACCAAATTTGTAAATTAGTAGCCATCTAAAACTTGTTACTCTAAACTAATGTATTATTTTTAGATGGAAAAAGAGCTTGGATCAGCCACAAGGTCTAAGCTCAGATACACAGGGAAGGTTCGTTTGTGCATCGCTCGTTATAGGTATGAATTCATCTTTAACTTGATTACTCAGTTTGGACATCTTGAATGAATCATTTGTGTTCTCTCACCATGTCCTGAAGAAGATTCAGTATCTCATGGCAACACAAAGAAATCTCTGCTCACAAATACTGCATAGAAAGCAACTATGTCTAACAATGTCTTCATCATGTGGAGTGTTAAAAACATTGTGTGCTATTGTAAAGGAAAGTGCTTAATTTCTCCATGATTGTGTTTTTATAGCTATAATCCCTACGATGGGCCCAATGAACACCCTGAAGCAGAGCTGCCACTGGTGGCGGGAAAGTATCTCTATGTCTATGGGACAATGGATGAGGATGGCTTCTATGAAGGTGTGTTTCATACATTCTGTTGTTGTTTTAGATGTTAAGAATACTCTAATAATCTTCTCTTCTTTCTAATAGGAGAGCTGTTGGATGGACGGCGTGGCCTTGTTCCTTCTAATTTTGTGGATTTTGTCCAAGATGAGGGAAAAACGTCTGTCAAACCCAGGGACACAATAACAACAAAAGAACCTGGCTACCTCAACCACAGTAGCCTAGGACCTCAGAGAGTGGCACTGGGCACACTGACAGGAACAGGAACAGGAACGAGCAGTCTGCTGTCTGAGAGTAAATTGGACTGTCTAAGCACCAGCAGCTTGGGCATGCATCTCATAGGCTCCACTAGCAATGGCACAGGAACCTTGGATGTTAACATAGATGAGGTTGGTGAAGACATTGTGCCTTATCCCCGCCGCATCAACCTGATCAAACAATTGGCCAAGAGTGTAATTATTGGCTGGGACCCTCCTGTGGTCCCTCCTGGTTGGGGCTCCATCAGTGGCTACAATGTCTTGGTAGATAAGGAAGTACGAATGAGTGTGCCATATGGGGGAAGGACAAAGTCTCTTATTGAAAAGCTCAACCTTGTTACCAATGCATACCGGATATCAGTCCAGACCATCACAGAGCGAGGGCCATCGGATGAGCTGCGCTGCACTCTGCTGGTGGGAAAGGACGTAGTAGTGGCTCCGTATTACTTGAGAGTGGACAGTATTACACAGATGTCTGCTGAGATGTCGTGGATGCCCAGCAATAGCAACTACAGTCATACTATCTTCCTCAATGGAGCAGAGTACGACATGGTGAAGGCAGGTGGATATCGGTACAAGTTTCTCAACCTGAAGCCTATGACAGTTTACAAGGTGAAAGTAGTGGCGCAGCCGCATCAGGTGCCTTGGCAGCTTCCGTTGGATCAAAGGGACAAAAGGGAAATATCTGTGGAATTCTGCACTCAGTCAGCAGGTCAGTCTTTTCTTAACACATTTTCTACGGATACTGAACAGATGCTGTGTAAAATGTTGTCCCTAAACAACTGGCATTTTTGAAAGATAGCCCTCAGCCATCATAAGCCTATATATCAAGGGAATCAGCCAATTTACTTAGTAAAGTGCTCTGAGCTCATTACATTCACAAACTTGAAAAATGTCAACCGTTGCTATTCTCCCTTGCCTCGTTGAGATTGCCCTGAAAAATTGGTGTGATGAAAAACATTAAAACTTTAAGATTCTTGGAGGAGGGATTATTTTCTGGTCTGTTTTCCATAAGTTAAATAATGAAATGATTCAGGAACAGTTTCACACAAATGACATTTTGAGTTGTATCATAATGAGAAAGAGAAAGACAAAAGTGCAGGCAACAGTTCAAATTGACTTTTTGTCGACGAGTCAAGATGCTGAGAGTTCATTTAATGATCCATCTATTGAACATGGAAATTAGAGACGACTGGAATAATCTAAGTGATGATGAAGACAGACAACTTCTATCAATAATATGGACTGCGTGTGGAAACACTTTGCCTTTGCGTTGTCAGTGTGTTCTTGGAACTGTGATTTAAAAAACATTTGAAAGCGTCTTTGAATAAAGAATATTTGAGTATGAATGTGAATAAAAATAGTGACATGGATCTTCCCAGCTGCAGCTTGGAGATAGTGCTGACCTCATCTGTTCTGTGCAGAGTGTCTGCAGGGGGCACAGCACTGCACAGATGGGGATGTTGTTTATTAGGCACTGAGTCCACTGGCAAACTAAGGATGTTTCTAAATAATATCTGTTCAATGCCCCTACTTGCTCTTCAGTAACATGACATAAAAGTGTGTCAGTGCGTCAATCATGTTGCAAATAACATACTTTCCAAACACGTACAATATACCACTGCAAAGTTAGACCACTGTTTAAAATTTACGCACCCGCCTCTGAGGAAAATCCCCATTTCATAACTCTGCTCGGGTTATTAAATGGATGGATTGTATGGTATACTACTGTGGTCAGCACTATATTTTCCACTAAATCAAGCAGCAGAAAGTGCTCCACCGTTAGAGCTTAGATTTTTTGTTTCCTCTCCTAATACTGTGCATGTGTGCTCTACCCAGGGCCCCCATTCCCACCGCAGGAGGTACAGGTCCTCTGTGATCAAACGCCTGGTATCCTGCAAATCAGATGGAAGCCACCTCCACTGACATCTTCAGGAACCTCTAATGGGGCCAGTGTAATTGGTTATGCGGTGTGCACAAAGGGACAAAAGGTATATTCTGACATTATTTTCTTAAAAGCAGTCTTCCTCTGCAGCCGTCCATCCTTTTGGAGTAGTCCTCTATTGCCATCTTCTGGAGACTTTTCCATAATGTTGCCATAAAACTGTTGAATGTGCATCACATCTGTATTATAATATGTATTTTTGTTGTGTTGATTTATTATGTCTTCCAGATTGCAGAAGTCCTGTACCCCACAGCAGACTATGTAACAGTGGAAGTAAACAGGCTTCATTGTTTGGAGGCCCGAGAAGTCATTGTAAGGACATTATCGACACAAGGAGAGTCCCAAGATTCTTCTGTGGCCATAATCCCGCACAATTTGTTAGGCTCTCCACACCTATCACGGCGAAACATTACACCCCCCCACCCAATGCCCCAAACGCAGACGGCCCCTCTACATTCTCAGCATCCTCCTTACCCATCGACATACCCTCTAACCCACCCTCAGCCCCTTATGCAGCCGGGACCTCGAGGTCTTCCCCACACTCTACCGCACACACAGCCCCAACGACACCCTCCCTCTCTCCCCCAGCCCCACTACCAGCGCCATACTGTATCCACATGCAAACCATTACTAAGTGCCAGAGAGCCAGAAACCAAAGAGCATGAGACTGGCTTACGCTCGAGCCAGCCCTGGGAGCGCTGCCCGTCCCCTCTGCCCACAATGCGTGGACACAACCTGGAGCCTCCGTCCTTCCAGCCGCACCGCTCTCCATCTCCACAGCGAATCCTGCCTCAGCCTCAGGGAGTCCCCATCCCAAACACCATTGCTAAGGCCATGGCCAGGGAAGCTGCCCAGAGAGTCTTTGCGGAGGGAAACCGGGTATGGAGTCTATTATAATTATCAAGAATTAGTACAGATATTTGTTTCTTCAGTTGTGGTATTTAAGTTTAGAACCTCTTTTAATTGCAATATTAGTTTGATAAAAAATGTTTGTGTGTACAGGTTGAAAAGAGGAACATCTTCAGTGATCGTGGTATGCATCCTGTTAACTCTGATGAAGAGGAGGATGGGTATGACTCTCCACATGCGAGAAGGAAAGGAGCGTCTGTGGACGACTTTCTCAGAGGCTCAGAGTTGGGCAGGCAGGTAATGTGAAACTATACAACATTCAGCACAAAGTTAACCACTGCTACAATTTGCCTTTATTAGCCCTTATTTCATTAGGATATTGGTTAAATGGACCAATGATTATTATATACTCCAAGCTAAGCAGAGCAGGGCCTGGTTAGTACTGGGATGGAATACCTCTGGGAACACCACAGTGCCACACTGTTGTTGTGTTCTTAGGATGAGTCTGGTGTGTGCGTAAATGGTTGCCTCGCTTCTGTCAGTGTGACCCCGGGGAGCTATGGCTACAGTAGTAGTTTATCACCACCGTGTATGGAGTCATGTAAAGTGTCCAAAAAAGCACTATATAAAACTAATGCATTATTATTATATTTATACATAAATAAATGTTTCAATTGTTTCTTCAGCAAATGCACTCAAATCAAGACAAATACCTCTTACTTCAAGCACATCCGCTAAAGAGGTTATGTATCCATCAAGGGGGTGGTAGTTTGTTAGTTTGTTTCTTAAACGGGCAGAATGACAGAATGCCACAGACATAACGACTCTTTCGACAAAATGTTGCAAACAAACATTGTTACTCAGGCATCGCTCGTGGAGAGCTCAAATTGGGATAAAAAGTTGTAGTCTGTAGCTAGCTTTAGTTTACAAGATAACCCAAAACATTAGGCGTGGATTTGAATGACATTTCCAGTAAATCTGTGAGTCAGTGAGACAGTGAGTGATTAGTTTTTGGAGGTGATCCGGATCACTGTCAGGATCCAGTCCTGACAAAGGTCTTCACTCTTTTATTTATTCATTACAATGTCACAGAAAACCAATTAAACTCTTAAAGACCTGGAAATACAATCAATTACAGTGTTCTCAATTGTGCAGCTAATATTTATTTTGTTTTTATAACTATGTCGCATATGAAATTACATGATTTCTGGTTAAAAAAGTTACAGTACACTAGTGACAAATTACTTTCTTGTGCTTTTTATTCTCACCTAGCACCATCATCATCATCACTACAGCCACAATGATGAGTACTACACAGAAAGTAGCCGGGGTTCTGACTTGTCCGACATTATGGAGGAAGATGAGGAGGAGCTCTACTCGGAAATGCAGTTGGAGGAAGGTCGCAGGCGCAGCATTAACTCTCACAACACCCTCAAGGTACCTCACAGCTCACTGCTTTAGAAAGAGACTGAAGAAAGATCAGATTGTATGGTCTGTTAGCAGATCCACTACGGTTGTCCAAATCAGACCTCCACCACAGCATGCTCCACCCCCCTGTTCACTTTTTCTTTATGCTTCACACTTTAAGCCCAAGCCTCTAAAATGCTTCCATAATACAAATGGAGTAGTGTGTGAGGTGTCAGTAAATGATTCGCCTCAAAAGCCTGCTCTCTTGTGTCTAAAGCATGGCATAGTCGTGGGTCATGGCATTTCTAATCATAGAGGAATCTCATTTAAGTGAGCACTTAAATGGAAAGTATTGTTGTATTCCGTCTGCCATGTTCTGTCAATTCGTTTCGTTTCAACTGTCAATGTTACCTCTCTTTGCATATGTGTCTTTGATTTGTGAGTGGTTCGTGCGGATGTGTAACAAGAACAGTGTGCCTGATAAATCGTTATATTGTTGTGTACAGTGTGTACTCTCATTGTTTCATCTTTTTGTTTAGGAAATGTATCCCTTCAATGATAAATGTACCAATATTTAGAAAATGTACACACAAAACATTTTATAAGACATGTTTAACTTGTTTATTTCATAAATGCATTGTTTAAGTAACACTTACTGAACATACACAACCACAACATGCCGTCTTCATCTTATTAGCCTTTCAATTGTCTTAGCTGAAAAATCTAAAGGCCAAATTTACACATTTACATAACTGTTGAGAGTGAGGAAATAGTTTTATGGATTTTTTTACGAAGCTATTTTGTGTAGTTTGGGTAGTTAGGTACCCCGGCCTGGCTTTAAATGGGTTTATTGTCTACTTTGGTTTATTGACACTTTATAAAAAATGTGTCTACTGTTGTAAGTCTCTGTCAATGACTATGCACATTCTTTCTATGCTATTTTGAATAATTTGGCATTGTCATTCATATTATATTCCTTATTCACACATTTTATTTTTTCCCCTATTATTCATCATGATGATGATTCATATTTATTTTCCTTAGTCAATTTAGCCTTCACAGATTCCTGCTTAGAGCATGCCATATCCCCGTAATGAAATGAGACTGCATGTCTTTCTACATTGCCACAAATAACTAATTCTGTCTTTATTTTGTCTTCCCTCCCCATCTATTCTATTTGCATACTGTGTTGTTCCTTCAACTTTTCAACCCCTTCAAAACTGAATCTTGAACTTAACTTGAACTCAAATTGTGAACGGTGAAAATGTGGATTTATGGTTGCTCTGCTGAAGGCCTATTACAAGCGTCAGGATTTAGCTGAGGAGCGAGACTGCTGGGACCTTCAGCGGGAGGTGGTCAAACAGAAGTCCCTCCGCAGCAAACGTTTGCACAGTATCCCTGAAGTGGCCGAGGAAGAGTCGGACAGCGTGGACAGTGTGGGCCAACAGCTGAGCTTTGAGGAGAGTGGGAGACCGGGAACACCGCACACTCAGAGAAGGCTGTATCCTCAGGACGGCCTCATGCACAATCACTTTGCCCCCAGTAAAAGTTCTCGCCTTCTACAGCGGCAGCGCTCCTCGCCCCGCTTTAGTGACAGCCGCTACTGCTACCCTGAGGACGGCAGCTTTGGCCGTACGAACCGGCAGAACACCAAGAGTCCAGACAGCGGCTTGGACTGTGGTAGTGAGGAGGAGGGCTCTCTGGGACGCAGTCATCGGGTTTACTATGCACACAGCAGCCCCATGAGAGGGCTGGTGCGCGTCATCCACTGCGAAGGTCCTGTAGAGAGGCGCGCGCTTGCTATGGGCCGCAGAAGGACTCTGACCAGGCAGTGCAGTATGGAGGAGGAGTTCTGTGACGGGCCAGGGTCCAAGGCTGTTCACTCGGGTGACTTTAGGAACAGGGAACATTATGGCCCCCGGGAAACTGGAGTCTTCCCACTCAGAGAAAGTAGGCTCCAGTCTATGCCCAGGCACAACCGGGACCAGCCGCTGGTGTGTGAATCCGACTTTCTGCTGTACATTCCATCAGCAAACTGCCATCTTGTTTTCTGAATGTTTTTATTTTCTATATAAATAACCACTCTTTTGTTCATTTGGCATTCTCTTTCTTTAATGACAAAGTGTCACATGTTCACAGTCGGTCTGAGTTGGTGTTTACTTTGTCTCAGTTGCTTTGCTTGTATTTCAGTGGTTTTACAAAGAGGAATTTGAGTTACCTAAAGACCATTTCCCACGTTTTGACTTCTCATGTCTCTGATGGGGAAGTATTTATAAATGAATAAACATTTGTCTTGTGCATGGACATGGTTATGTTCTTTTTCTCCTGCACAACAAAGTACCATTAGTACATTTTGCATTACTTTAGTTTCAGAGAGATCAACCATTTTATTCTTTGCTCTTGGTGATTGCGTCACATTTTGTCCAGATGTATTTTATTCAGTCATCTTCCAGCCCCATTTGTTTCTTTACTACTTATTATTTCAACCTTCCCTGATATAATCATTAGGATTATGCAAAAGGAATGACATGCCTGGAACAAAACTAAAATAGAAAATGGTCTTTAGCAAAAAAAACCAAACTCAAACACTTCTTATTGTGTTGAGTACTGGTTTAATTGTTAATCAGTTTTCTTTATTGATGTTTTGTCTATTATTTGGTCTCCCTAAGGACAAATGGACAGTCATTTGCTCTTACGGTTTTCCGTTTGTTTGACAGGATTAATTTGTGATATTTATTTTTATGTTGAAGTTTTGCTGAAGTAATGTTGTAACTGCTAATCTTTTTCCCTTAAGATTGTCAACTCGCCAACACATGGAAACTCAGAGCGCCTGGACCCCTCAGGGAGGAGAACGGTCCACATCGGCACCCCTCCTCAGCGAAGGCCCATCCCATCTATTGGTTAGTGAGGTCACATCATGAGGCTAAGTGCCCTGCCAGTCCACCTATGTCTGTGCCGAAACCTTGTGTGCTTCCCTTTTCTCATGTGAGCCAAGCTGCACATCTCTTCATAGCTTTAAGACTTGTCCAGCCAGTAGCCATTCATTTCCATGGGCTTGAATTATTTAGAAAGTATACTCTCTTTGTATTAAACATGTGTGAGTGTTTATTATTTACTAAAATGCTTGCAACAGTGCAAGCATTGCTGTTTTACATCCTAATGACAACAAAGAATCTATTGCCTTGTGCACCGAGCCAAACCAGGGCTACTCCATCATCTCTCGTGTCACAATGCTAAAATGGGGGCCATGGGGGAGAGCTGCGTGTGTGTGCAAAGGAATTGGATGTAACACTGTGATTGGTGTCTTCTGTAGAGATCACCATGGACAGTAACAGTGAGGGGAGTGAGGGGAACCTCTCACCTGGCAAGGAGGATGTTAACTATGGCAGTGTAGCTCGGCGCAGGATATGGCCAACTATGTCCTCAGAGGAGCAATATGGTATGTAGTGCAGCCTCTCCAAGAAGCTATTGCATCATTGGTAAGGGCTGGGGTAAAGTCAATCATTCGAGGCAATATCATTCATAAACGGTGGTCGTAGTTTGTTATCGAATCTAGCTCAGATGGTACAAGCTGACAGGGGAATGCCAGACTGGCCACTATTCCCATTGCTGGAGAATGAAAACCCCTCCTTGTATGTACACCTCTAATCCTTACAGAACCCCACTCACCCTCGATGTCCCTTGTTGACCCTCTTTTGTCATCTGATCCCTTTTTGGCCCATTCAGTTGATTTATGTTTGCATGCAGTTTATGAAAAATTGCATCAAATTACATGTCATGAATATGGGATGGGACAAAATATTAGCACAAGTATCTCTTTAGAAATTGTAAACAAAACTATCTTGTCTGTGTCTTGCCCCAAACATAATATGGCATAGTTTTAGTTTTTGTTGTTGTAACATTGAAACATAATTCATGGGACTCCACAAGAATCTTTGAGGAGGTTTTATCCCCGCTGCCTGCAAACTCACAGGGATCTGATAACGTCATCTTTACAACATCACTTACTTTAAGCACTCACATTAGAACACTGATCTGTTACATTAAACGCTTGCATGCCTCTGAGCGAAACAGCAATGAACTTAGTGCTGTGTCGTTCTTCATCAACTCTTTTTCCACCTTTTGCGCTCCACACCACATTTTTCTGTTTGTGTTGTTCAGTCTGTGATATATCTGGTGTCTGTCAAATCAGAGCAGAGAGCTGTAGACGAAAACACTGATTTTGATTTGGTATGTTTTAACAAATAGTAAGTAGAGCGACATTGATCATGGTTTTTTTCACACGCCGCACCCACCGAGTTTCCCCAGTCAGCTTTAACAGACACCACCCATTTATCTTCATGTCCACTCTGTCCATGTAAAGCTGTTAGTAGTAGCAGGAGCCTTGTCTTTGTTTCAGATAGCTATGGTGGACGCAGACACGGCCGTGGACACCGCTCATTTGGGGAAGAAATGGGCGAACTTACCCGAGTGTTTGTAGCTCTTTTTGACTATGACCCAACATCCATGTCACCGAACCCTGATGCTGCTGATGAGGAACTGCCATTCAAAGAGGGTCAAATCATCAAGGTGACATATCATGAGAAACGTTAACGGATGTATGGATGCAGGCCGTCTTTAAGTATTTCTCGTACATTTTAGGTGTTTGGAAAAAAAGACAAGGATGGATTCTACCGAGCGCAAATTCGAGACAGAATTGGTGTAATTCCGTGTAACATGGTTTCAGAGATTCAGACAGAAGACGATGAAATGATGGGCCAGCTCCTCAAACAGGGCTTTCTTCCACTAAACACTCCCGTGGAGAAATTAGGTGATCCCTATCAAAATATACTTTTCTCTTTCATTGTTCTGCACGTGTTTTCAGGTTTTACAACTTATTTCTGATTTTTTTTTTTCCCTGTGAAGTGAACTGCGACCGTTTCAGAGATGGCCGGTCAGTAAATCGCCGGTCCAGAAAGTCAAAGAGAGGTTTGTGTAGATGCTTGTTTATGTCATCTGCGTAATTTTCAACATGTTTTGTTGCATTTAAACATTGTTGTCATATTTTGTGGCCCCAGAGAGATATAGGCGAAGCGGTCGGCCATATCCCATGTCGACTAGAAGAATGGTGGCCCTCTATGACTACGACCCGAGAGAGAGCTCCCCCAATGTTGACGTGGAGGTATCACACATGCCCACTTTGTCTTGTCGCTGTCTATTCTCACCATGGTTCATTCAGCACGTACATAAATGTGTATAGCTTAGAGCTGATTCAGAGGTTAACATTTCTTTCCCATATTGTTTTCTGGCCATGTTATTGCTTTTACTCACTGTCACCTTTCTATTGGCACTGCCATCGACTCAGTATGAGGGGCACAGGCTGAATGAGGAGGTGAGTTTGGGTGAGGAGGGTTTCCACTTTTCTGTGTGTGTTTCTTTCCCATGTTGCAGTGCAAATGATGAGGTAAGCTTCTGACTCTCCTAAGGCAGCATTCTGACGCCTCGGTTTTCTCTTTGTGTCCACTCGTCCCCTACATGACTTTTGTGTTTCCACTGCAATCCAATGGAGAGCTGTGTGTTGTATTTCTGCCTTCAAAGTCGTGATGCATTCTCAGCTGCGACAGTAAACGTGCGATCGGTCTGACTTGCATGAAAGATGCATCAGAAGTTTGGAGAAGGAAATGTGGAGAAGGAAAAGTGTTGAAAATACTCAACACTTGATGATGTGATGTGTTTAATCCTTGAACCTGTTTGAAAGCTGACTTCTCACTGAAAAAGATGTAGTTTCATTGTTCAAAGAAGAATGTGTTTTTATGTATTTATTTTCCCACAGACGGAACTGACGTTTTGTGCGGGAGATGTCATCACAGTTTTTGGTGAAATAGACGAAGATGGTTTTTACTACGTACGTACATTTACCGTAGATCTCCAATAATAAGTGCTTGAAGTAAGTTGTATTTTATACTGGCTTTAAGGGAGATTGGCAAGTGGAAAAATGCAATTAAAGTAAGAAAATAAAATATTAAGGATTGATGTGTTTAAACCAAGACAATGTACATGACCATTTCTGTAAAAGTGAAAGTTTTAGCTTCAAAGCAAGTTTTTCACGATAGTCTCTGTGCAAGGAATTAGCTTTATCCCATTTGCAGAGAAAAATTGCTGAATTCAAGCACTTATTAAGACATGTTTTTGTTATTCATATAGGATCAGGTCTTTCATATGGTACATCTTTTCACAATCCATAATTTACAATGAATGGATGATAAATCACTAAAAAGTATTTTGTGTGTAAATTTGTATTCATTTATTTGGAATTCAATACTGTTTTAGGAGTAAAGGGTTGAGTGATTAGGCTTTATATTTAATATTCTATACGTGTTCCCAGATACTAAGTCAACATGTGCCTTTTCTGAACAGCAAGAAGTGAAGTTGTTCTTGTAAAAAAAAAAATCGACATGATTTCCAGAATGTTAATGTTTACAATTTCCCAGAGGATTATCCAATCAGAGAACAGAATCATATATTAGGTGAGATTTAGCTGGTTTAGGTTATTTATTAGTTTAATAGTAAGTAGTTTTAGTTTTTTAAATTACTAAATTCACAAACAAAATAGTACCACACATATGCATTTGTTATGTTTTTAAAGAACACACCTGCTTGCTGACGTTGTCCTGTTGTTTCCCTGTGCTTTTAGGGTGAACTTAATGGACACAAAGGACTTGTTCCCTCCAACTTTCTAGAAGAAGTGCCTGATGATGTCGAAGTTTTTCTCACGGACTCCCCATGCCGTTACCCTTCGGACACTCCGGCTCGGATAAAGACCAAAAGGGTACATGCTCCCTCGCAGTACTAGCCCTCTCATCCATCCTCCGCCCTCTATCTCAGTCTCGTGTCTGTGCGTTTGTCTCATTGGTCCAAGTCTGGTGGGTGCTTTTTTGATGGAGCATTTTAATGTGTATATATATATCTATATATATATATATAGATATATATAGATGTTTAAAATGATCTTTAAATAAATACTTGAGGTATTTTTTATTTGCCATGTTTACTGCTGTGAAGGGGGGAACTTGTGAACTACATGGATGGACTCAAAGCATTCTCATTTAGTCCATTTCTTCAGTGACTTTTTACCTGTTACTGTCCTGAAATCAGCAGTCAAACCTTTTTGCACATGCATACTCTGCATTCAGCCAGATGCTTTATGACTTATTTGGTTTATTGTTTAAACTGGAATTATTTATAATAGAATAAATAGTTTTGTTTTTTCTGATAGATCAACATATGAATATGGAATATTCTCAGCATGTCTTATAGATGCATGTTTTCTTGAAGATTTTATAAAAAGATAAGCGCGGAATAGTTGAACTTTTGTATCAGCTCCGGAACGCCTTGTTTTGTAAATCTGTTTTCTTGTAAAGTAGCACGCAAGGTTACAGAACATGTTGCTGTCAGAGAAAACTATAATTTCCTAAATGTAAATATATTATGTTATTTATACATTGTACTAAGATGTTGTTTTAATACCATGTTCAGTTCTCTTTTTACCATTGTCATTAGTTAAAATATTGATATGCCATCACCATATTATTTTGTTTTTATTTCTTTTCCTCACCTGCTTGGCAAAACAGAAGAAGAGTGTTCATTTCACACCTTAAAGGCTCTATTTCCTTCACGTAAGTGAGCAACTGAGGATACCTCGATAACTCCCCTTGTCTAAGCAGAGTCCTGGGTGTCCCTTACATCTCTTGTATACACCCTACTTACATTCCTCTAGCTCCGATAGTCTAACAGACCCTCGCCAATGCATTAGACAAGAAGAACGGTATCTTCAGTTGTTTCTCTGAGTGTTGTATATTACAATGTGCGTCCCCTGCAATGAGTCTCTTCCTGTAACTCATGAGATTCTGAAAGGCCACTAGTGCACATAGAATGTATCCCTTTAACGTTTTTTTTTTTTAACTTGACAGTAAATCTTTAACATGATGTGATCTTAGTTTCAAACATAACTGTAATTGGCATAATGTACCTCTTTTGCACATTTGTCTTTAAATTTTAAAACGCAAAGTAAGGCCTTTCAGCTCATGATTACAGAAACTAATAGTGACATGTAGTTTCTCTATACCTCAGATGTGTTTAATTAAAGTACATTATTACAGGTATTTAGAGAAGTAAGGGAAGGTTAATGTGATAACTATGTCCCACTTGTTAGCATTTGCAAATGTATCAGTTTTGTGAGAGGAACTGCATTGTCTTTGACAACCATTGTTGAGAAATGTGGTTACCCTAGTTCAACATGCTTCACCTCTGTGTTGTGAAGTGTCACCTGTGGTAGCATCGTGATCCCTGCTTCATTATGGAGGAGAGGGCTAGAGCTAAGTTAATCAGGAGGGGGGGGGGGGGGCTAGAGCTAAGATAATGAGGATGGGGGGGGGGTGATGCTTCACATATTACATTTCTGACTTTTTAATACAGTCAATTGTCCCTTACGGGTTTCCCCATTAGGTGCCACTGGAAAAATCGTCTCTGCTCCCATTGTCCGCCCACACTTCCCCAGGCCTGGCTCTGCCCCGCGGCACACGCACTCCAAAGCAAAGAAAACAGGACCGCTCAATAAAGGGAAGGACCTAATGCCTAGACTTGTACCTATTAAGTCTGAAACCAGAGTCCACAAAGGGATAGATTTATTTATTTTTAAATGCAACCAGAGGTATTCAAATATTATTGTATGTCTGTTGTATATTGAAATATCTTGTTTTTGTCATAAAAGTCAGTTTCTCAAAATATAAAAAACCCTCTCGTCACTGTCTGCCAATGCAGACATTTTGTATGCCAGAATTACCTAGAATGTCAAATAAAAAAAACATCCACATATACATACATTAACATTTCTCACTAATAAGTAAGATATTTAGACACTCTACTGAACTTAGCGTTTATGTGCATGGAGGTATACAAGATTGGCTCTCCCTCGGCCCCCTTTGATAGGCACACAGAACAAGCACATTGTACTTACAGGGTCTGCAGCAGAATTCACCTTTGACGTCCAGTGTACTGGGAATGCCTCGCAGATCCAAACTTCATGTATTTGCCTTATAATTGCACAAATGGTTTCATGTTGTCCAGTAGTGTGCAGCTTCATTTCTGCTCTTCTGTCACTTGTCATAGCTTTCCTTCACTGCTCCGAACTGTGATGTGCAGGGATTTAAACTATCATAGGACTGAGTCGGGTCATATTCTGAAATAGAAAAGCACTTTAAGTGATAGTCCTATACTGATATCACACTAATCCACAGCATACTACAGTATGATAGGATAAGTTATAAAATACTAGTCACATTTGAAACTAGCTTAGGGCAAAGCTACCTCTATATTTTGTATGGCCAAATTTAATCTGGTTATTCTGCCTGTCTAAGGTCCATAAATTGACGCATTTTTATGGATTAGAGTACTGTATATCTATAGAATCCACTTAACTGTAGAGTAGTGAATGTATGAATTGAAGGCCAATGTATAAAAGTTATCCAAAGGGATTGTCCAGATGTCAGTCTTGTGATTGTTGAGTGTCAACCCTACGTTTAACTATTCTTAACCATCTCAAAGTTTATTTTTAAAAATACAGTTGAACTGAAACTGCCAAATGGAATGTATGCAAACATTCTGATATCTCCTGTACATTTTCAGCTGCCTGACTTTGTGTTCAACTTGACATTTTCCCTTTAGACCAACTTTTTGTTTCAGTGACTGTTGCTCTTTTTGTACTTTGTCCATTTGTAACATTGTTTTTAAATGTTTATACTTGATTTTTCAAACTGCCTTTTTTCTACATTAACTTTATAATCAAACAGTGCAAGCTCCCCCCATGGTGTCTTTAAGACCATATTGTTTTAAGAGTCTGCTATTGTGTGCTAGCTTTATGATATAAAAGGATCAGCCTATATTACTGGTTACACATTGTGTGAGTGTGCATGTGCAATATTTTCTAAAGAAAAATATAATGAATAAATTTGCTATTTTGTAGTCTTGAGTCTCATTTGCATACAATTTTAATATGAACATTTATTGGATTGCACACTGAAAAACATTCACAACAGCAAGTAAAATAATTAGATATTCTTGAAAAAGAAAATGTTGACCACCATTAACTTGGTAAACAAAAAATAGTCCAAAACAGAAAAAGGCTCATTCAGTAATGTTGGACCTCTAATATACTTGCGTGGACACCAGGAACATCTTAAACTTAAAAAACCTTTAGTCTACAGGTAAAACAGCAGGTTGTCCAATTTCACATTGGGCTCTCTGTGAATGCTCTGCCCCACGAGGAAGGCCAGCTTGTGGGCATACTGGCACGGGGCGGGAACTCTGACAATTCCCTAGGAGGAAAGGACACACAAGACAACTGTAAAAAGCCATTTGAGTGTTTACTTTCATGTTTGTCTTTTCAACTGCATCACACTAATTACGGTATTTGTCAGATCATTAGTCATGGTCAGCCTGCTACCCACCTGCCAGTTGTAGTACATGTGGCACAGCTTGTATGTGAGCCGCTGCATGTGGTCAGGCTTCAGCCCCGTGGTGTCGTACACAACGTTGTAGTGCGTTGGAGACACACATCCTTGTCGGACAGATTGGCTCACGATGTAGAAGTCATACCTTTCATTGTTAAAAAAAAAGAAAGAAAATGGGGTCAATGCGTTTATTATTTCTGATCTTTAAAATTCAAGAGTTCCCTATTAAGTCACATGGTATATTCCATACTGGGTGGTTTGGCCAATTAAACGAAACTTAATATTTGTTATTAAAGCAATGAAATAGACATTAGGTTTCTTTCTAGACAAAGATTAATGCGCTGAAACCGAAATTACAATACATCATGGTCACAAAATATCGTTCTGAAACAGTTTATTAATTTGATAACAGCTTTATATTCTCACCACTCGGGGCGGGTGACTTCTGAATCCACGACAGTGCCTGGTGGAGGGTTGGACACTTTGCCGTTGATGAGTGCAAAGAACCTGCTGTTAATGCGCTTCTTCACCACCACCACACTGAGCTTTGGCCTGACACCGACAAATAAAAATACAATGAAAATGGAGACAAGCATAGAGTTTGTTCAAAAAAAAAAAAAAAGCGTACATGTAATCTTGACCCATAGATTTGATGGCCTCTATGATCTGTGCCACTTCATAGTTGACAACACTGTGGAGCTGCCCATCTCCGACCCCGTCTCGATACACAATTATGCGAGTGGGCAGACACTGGTTAAACTTCAGGTATTCCTTCAGAGCACCTGGAAATATGTTGTGCATATTTTATAAGGGTTCCATTGTTAATTCACTCACTCATTTACCTCCAAAGCATTTCTTCAAACCGTCCATGATCTCCTGACCTTTGTGCTGCAACACGCAGTTCGAATACCACCTAAAAAAAAAGACATTTCTATTTAAGTGATCAAACTTTACAACAGAAGTGATTGATGTATTCAAAGATCATATATTTGATCATACTATACTCAATTCAGAAGGTCAACACACCTGCTCATGCTGTGGTTCAAGCTGGCAACTAAAGCACCAATGGACCTTTTCCCTGCGGTGGTGTCATGATAGCAGTCAATGCCAACAATCATCAGCTGCTTCAGCTAAAAACACAAACCACTGCATTCAAATCATTTCAGATGTATCTTTTTTGGGACAACATTTTATATAAATATGTATACAAATATAGAATGTCAATTTTGATTATAAAGTTATTTCCCACATCTTCAATTATGCACTCTGGTCTTGTGCCTCAACTAGACAACGGTCCTAACTGATGAATCATACATTTCTAAAAGATCTGATTTTGACCTAAACATTAATTTCCACATTTTCTTGAAGCATTACTTTGCTGAAAAAATATAAAACATTTATTTTCTACTTTTTTGATATATGTAGAAGTTTGGTCCATGTAAGCCTTACAGGAATCTCCACACTCCACAGCTCTCCTCCCATCTTGCAGGCCATCTGAAGTGCTATCTTTGTGGCCACGGTCATCAGCGCCTGAGGTTTGCTGAGGGTGCGACCGAGGACACACTGGCTGGGCACAGGGCAGTCAACACAGAGGTACTTTTTGACTGAATCGTACTTGTCCTGCCTATTGCTGGATAAAACCACCACCACCTTTAAAAAGAAATTCATTACGAGATAACCCAACTTTATACTTTTGCATCCTTTTTCCATTTACCATCTGCGTTTGTGGTGTCACATTCTGCTGCAGAGCTCTGAGCAGAGATTCTTGATGATCCTCATATTCAATCCTGAAGGGTTAAAGCAATACTTAGAAAATAATTAACAGACCTATGGATTAATAAATATAGCAGTGAAGTTACTCACATCACAGACCGTTGTAGACGGATACCAAGTGGACCACTGACTTTTCCAAGGCTCTGCAGAAGTCCCTGCGCCTCATTCATATTACGTCGTGTGAAAAGCATCAACCAGTTAGAAAGAGGTGGGGCACTTATCACAGGTATTCCACGCATCTCTCTGGCCCAGTCAGCACTATTGGCGTCATACTCGTACTGTTGGACAATTCAACACATGATACTAGTAATAAAAACAAGTGCATAACCCTTATTAGAATACTTACAGATTTTTGTCCCTGAAACATCCTCTCCGTTGGAAGCACTCTGCCGGTGATCTGGACAAGCCGCTTGTCAAAGCTGAGACCCCACTTGTCCATGTCTGATTGAGCTTCCTCATTTCTGAAACAAACTATGATTACAAGAAACTGACAAACGACTTTATTTTCAATTCAATCGTACTTGTTGATGTTCATGACAAATCTGCTGAGGCGTCTCTCTCTGTCTTCAGGTGACAGTCTTGTGTGTACACTTAAGTCTTTCATGATGTTGAAATCTGATCTCATCTTATCAGTCAACCCTGCATACAATATATTGCAATAAGAATGGAAAGAAATACTTGTGCAGCCTCCTAGCCTTAATTAATGACCTGTGAGGTAGCACAGTTCTGGGACCAACATGGCCGGTCCAGGAGGTGGACCCCCACTTGGTCCCAACCTCTTCACATGACTGACAAGCATCACTTGGTTGCAATCGACGATGTTTATTCCGTATTGCTGTTTAAGAAACAAGTACAAACATATCAATTACAAGCTACAACTAATCAGGATTTTAACCATTTCTGAAACTTGGCACTTACATTACTAAAGTAATTCCTGAAAGAAATCTCAGTGTCTCCCTTCTTAAAGGTGTTGTTGGGTGTGTGATCCCATGCGATGTCATCAACCCTGTACGTTTTGTTGTTGTACCTGAGAAGACTAAGATGTTAACTCATGAGAGAGAAAGTCTAATTCCCATTCTTTATTAAACATACTTAGTGAGAACAACCAGACCAATAAGTTCCTTGGCACAGATGTCTGGAAAGCGGTGAGCGGGAGCGGTCTGCTTGAGGTTGATCATGAAGTCGCGGACAGTCTCACTACGAAGAACTCTGTGGCTCACATCAGTGCACAGCATGATGCCAGACTCGTACGGCAGAATAGTTGTAGTGTATCCAGGCCATATAGTCAACCTTAAAGTGGTTTACATTTACTTGTTATTGTAACATTGAACTTTTATTTATAAAGATGAAAGGACAATTAACATCTGACAGAAAGTAACTACTACATTGTATGAAGAGACTTACTTGTGCTTTGGGATGTCAAGAGGATCGTTTGGGCTGTAGTAGTTTCTTCCAATCTGTTGCATCTTTAGAACTCTCAGAATCCTATTTGAGAAAAAAACGTTCACATCAATATTTGATGGTCAAGTCAAAGTATAATGACAATGCATTTACCTTTTGAAAATGATGTTATAAAACTGGATGCACACCGGAGACACTGGTGGGAGCTCATTGGTCAGTGTCACAGTTATTTGGACCTTGTCTCCACTTCTCATCTCACTACAAAGCACAGTCTCCTGAAGATAAAAAGTGAAAATAGCATTTACAAATAGCGTGATGCGCAATGCCGTGCCACTAGTTTCCATTGAGACAATACATTATATTACTAGATTTTACTGACCAGTTTTAAACATGGCTACTTCATTCTTAGTAAGTTGTACCTTGCTATGCAGTCTGTGAGGCAGAAAAAGCAACGCCCCATCAAAACTTCTAGCTGAACCGAGGATTTCTTCGTGCTGATAGAGCATTGCAGATCTGAAGCGACGAGACTCAATTGAAGGTTTGAAGTCCACATGGTACTGGTACAAGACCCACTGAGGGCGTGACAAAATTCGGAAGAAGTTTGCGGAGAGTTGAATGGCCCGACCCGATGTTCCTGTTGAGAAATGTAAGAAATGTAATGTAAGAAAATGTTGCTTACTTGAAATAAAAATCCCTGTCCACACAAAGTTCTGTACCAAGCACAGAAAACAATTGACTTTGAGAGAATGTAACTTATGAGTAAATTAATAAGTACAGACCACACTTTGAATCTTTGACATGTTCCATCACTTGTCTTGTGTTGATCCCAGCATCATTGAAATCTCGACGATGGCCTCCACGTTCACAAATCTTCACTTGTTGAAATCCAGCAGATATCTGCATGAGAGCTACAAAAAGAGGTTTTCAAAAAGTGTTCCTTAAGTCACACACAATCATTCAAAAACAAAAGGCAAGTAATTGATTCAAATTTTAATTGGAATAATATGTCACCAAATAATTACATTTACAATGTGTGTCAACTTCATTAAAGCTGGGGTAGCCAAATTATTGACAATTCATGTCATTTGTCATTGCAGTCTAGTAAAAGTAAGTAAAATGTGAACAAATGAGAACACGTCATCTTCTTGGCAAACATGTAAGGAAACCCCTATCTGACGGTTTGCGTTCAGAGCCAATGGCTGAGTGGGGCCCTCTTTAAAAAGAAAAGATGGCATACACAAGTCATAACACTGTTGACCGCTTAGATTTAACATGGATTTAAATCAGAGTTCCAATGTGAGTTTGAAAGTTAGGTACAACAACTAACAATGAAAACGTGAGTGAATCGTTCTACCTTCTTCAGTAAAGGGACCTGGAGTAGTTTTTTGCCTTCCTCGTCCAACCTTGCCCTCTTCAGGTGGGGCCCCCACAGGCGCCGTCTCTGTTGGCTGGTCCTTCATTGCGAAAAGTGATAAAGATTACAAGTATTGAACTAAGCAATAACACCAGTTTCATTATTATAGGGGTTGAAATTCGGAAACTCACAGCTCCGGGTCTCTCATGGCAAACGGCCCTGCCACGTGACCTAGCTCGTGCTCGCCCAGTCATTGTACGTTCCAATGTCTTCACAACAACTGAAAATAAGGATTTAATATACAATGTGCTGTGTTTGATTCATATACCCAGAATAAATGTAGTACTGGTTCAGTAGAACTCTTTAAACCACCGCGCAAGATATAGCTAATGGTCAAAAAGCTCATCTGCACGTGGCGTTTCTTCCTTGCTAATGCTAACCACATTGAACAAGTGAACACGGAATCACAATTGTTATAAACTTGGAAAAACGTCGACATTGGATAACGATAGAGCATATTTTAGCATTTGGTGGATTAAAAAAAAACTAACAACTTAATGTCAGGTGTAAAGTTAGACAACTTGTGATTAGGTTTAAGATACTGCGAGTACATTTAATATGAGGCATTATTACATTTAAAATCTAGTAGTTAGATACTTACAGAGCGCGGTCAGTTGTAAAATGATTAATTACTTCGCCTTCTCGCAGGTGGCGGTAAAGCTGGTGACGTCACGAACCGCTTCACCTTGAAAATTCTTGCGCTGAAGATATTTAAATCAATTAAACAATCATGTAATGTTTCTATTGTTGGATCATTTTAGTAGATACATGTTAAAAATATAATTAAAAACGATTAATTATTAACTTTAATCACATTAAACAGTCAAAACAATGTGCACAGAGTTCAGAACTATTTCTTTGATCGCATTGATAGAGCGATCATATTTGCGAATGTACCATGAATGTAACTGTCTTTTTGGCCACTAGAGGGCGACATATATCAGAGCTGTTCAAAATATATGTCAACATATGTGACATACTTTGAGATGAGTAAAGAGTAAAGACAGATCTTTAAAATATGCTTTTTGGTATTGATTCAAGTTGATTGAAAAAAATGAATCACTTCAATGCATGTCTTGCATGCAGAGGTTTGTCTTGATAAACTGGGCACCAACGTAAAGAAAAATACAAATGGAAAAGTGAAATGAAAAGATTAAACTGGGTGCAAAGTGCACAGGTGCACCCTGTGGGGACGTTGATGAATCCACTTCAGGCTTCAAACTTGGCCTGCAGCCTCCAACAGTGGCTTCCACGCTTCCACTAATCACCGAGAAACAAAAATCTGTGTTTTGTGGAACAATAAACCAGAATCTCTAAAATACAAAATCAGGTCATTGTCCGCACAAATGTTTTGAATTAGGTACTTATGTCATCATTATTGTGAAACGTATTGATTGTAGCCTGATATTTGAAAAGAAGAGACATGAAAGCAAAGTTCTAACACAAGATACGTTTAATTAGCAGTTGTATATTGTCCTCACCCTCTGATCAGATCCAGTCTTAGTCCAGGTCTTGGTCTAATCACACATTTACATTATATTAACATTACATGAAATCATTTTTGCACAAGGAATAAATAGGGAATGGTATTTGGATTTGGAAATAGACATTTTTTTAAATGCCACAGCCGTGTTTCGGTGAACAATGCACTAAAGCTGACAATGATAAATATGGGCATCACTTATCAGTGTTTCCTCTGATTGAAGAAACCAAGGACACTTTCTTTGAAGTTTTAATTTGGAAACTTCCTCCTCATTCCATAATAAACTCATTTTGAGGCCTTGAGATCATTGGCAGACCAAATGGAAAGCATGACACTATAATCAACAGTAACAGCTAATATCCATATAGTGGGCAGAAGGATATGTATATATATATTAACAAATATATCATTATTATGATTTAACCTTTTATTTAACCTGGGCACAAAGGAACAAAGACATAATGACAGCAATGTACATAGCTTCCAGCAGAGGCAAGCATATTTATGTTTATCAAGATTAAGATTAAGAGATCCTTTATTCGTCCCACAGTGGGGAAATTTCAGTGTTGCATCACAAGGAAAGAGGAGCACACGGCACATTAAGTGAACAATAGCTATCCCAATTAAAAATATAACAAAATCTCTATCCCTAGCATCATTTATAAGTTTACAAACTATCTTGAAAATAATAATAAAAGAGGTGTAAAAGTTTAACATTTGGCAATTTTAAAGTACAGTGTATTCTATGTTAGCATCTGTACATGTTAGCAGTATGTTTACATCTGTACATGTTAGCAGTATGTTTACATCTGTACATGTTAGCAGCAGTAGGTTTACATCTGTACATGTTAGCAGCAGTATGTTTACATCTCTACATGTTAGCAGTATGTTTACATCTGTACTTTAGCAGCAGTAGGTTTACATCTGTACATGTTAGCAGCAGTATGTTTACATCTGTACATTGGCAGCAGTAGGTTTACATCTGTACATTGGCAGCAGTATGTTTACATCTGTACATTGGCAGCAGTAGGTTTACATCTGTACATGTTAGCAGCAATATGTTTACATCTGTACTTTAGCAGCAGTAGGTTTACATCTGTACATGTTAGCAGCAGTATGTTTACATCTGTACATATTAGCAGCAGTAGGTTTACATCTGTACATATTAGCAGCAGTATGTTTACATCTGTACATGTTAGCAGCAGTATGTTTACATCTGTACTTTAGCAGCAGTAGGTTTACATCTGTACATATTAGCAGCAGTAGGTTTACATCTGTACATATTAGCAGCAGTATGTTTACATCTGTACATGTTAGCAGCAGTATGTTTACATCTGTACATTGGCAGCATCGGGCTCTGGGACACAGGGACTCAGTAAAGTGACAGTGACATGTAGTTATTGCACATTCTGATATAGGTTAAGGATATTGCAATGATGCATGACACGTGGGATCAAGTTGGCAGTGTTCATTAGTCCTTATTGTTTGTTGTACAGTCTGACAGCAGCAGGAAGAAAAGACCTGCAGAACCTCTCCTTCACACATCAAACCAGGGATAATTAATGCTGCCATAACAAATATTGAATCAGTCTTTCAGTTACAGGCTATAGTGTGTAGAATTTGACAAGAGTTGGTGTAAAAATGTTGCTCAGAATCTAATAAGTTCAATGTGGGAATAAAGCAGAGGGGAGTGAGCATCAAAGGCAGCCACGCGCAGCAGGACTGGCATTGGCTTGAACTCCCAACCTAGGACACTCAGCAGGCTCTTCAGTATCGGCCCCTTTGGACTAGTGCAGGGCAGTAATTAATACCACTATTCCTACTGTTTTCTATCTCATTAACTACATTGAACCTTAGGCTTTAATCTTCCCTTCTACAAAAATAGGACTCCATAGACAGAATGAGGAAGGTCGGCAGGCCCTATAACAGGATGTGTCTATTTATCATTTTAAAGCAATTTTTGTTGTATGTTTTTGTTTATCTGGATGGGACACCAGCGGTGTTACACCAGACTTTGGCCTGAAAACACCATGACACAAAGGGAGAAACTGAGAAAAATCTGAAAAAAATGGTCAACATCCCCTCTTTGTTTATAAACCCTGATGCCAGAAAAAAAGCCTTTACAAAGCCAGTCACTAGTTGTTTCCTCTTTAGGGACACTATGAGTCAGTTGAAAGTAAAACCCAACCACACACTGGATCTGAGCCAAATTCAGGCTAACTGACTATCTCTCCCTCCTCTGTTTCTTTGAGTTGCCTTTGATGTTAAGGGGTGGGGGGTGGGGGGGGGGGACTTAGCCCTCACACTGATAGTTACAAATGATACTTTAAGCAATTCTTTTTTATCAGGCAGTTTAATGAACGATTAATGGGTTTGATATTTGCCCTTGTTTATATCTTATATAGTACAATGTATATACAGTCCTTGGAACCTGTCCAAGGATCATTAATGAAGCTATCAATATATACTGTATATGCCCATGCTAACCTATCATCTCTGCTCCACGCTCCACACCAGCCACCTCACTTGCCATTTATTTACACCTGCTATTGTCTACTGTCTTATCTCCCTGAAGCTGGTTCTACCAACATATTTTAGTGACAAAAAGCACTGTGGAGGCCTTCTGCCAGGCTTCAGTCAATTGTTTCCCATTACAGTGTAAGGTTATGAAGAATGTATGTATGAAAGTGGTTCAGATTAATTTGTGTTGACTGATGAAGCTTAACTTGTGGTCTGTTGCCTTTTGGTTTTTATGAACATATGGTAGTTCCAGAGAGCTTTGCACAGAAAGGTAAAACATACTCAACATAAATATCAATATTAATGGTTATCAGTTACAGGGTCTTTAAAATCCTTCCAGTTGTCACAATTAAGGATATTTCATGGGCATTGAAACTCACCAAACAAGTCACTCATATTGTGCAATCAAATGTTTTCACCATACAGACACAGAAACAAGCGCTTAATGCATGCCAAGGACCTACACCGGTGTGATTTTATGTACAAACACATCAAACTTTTTCTTTCAAACATTAAACCAAAGTAGGTAAAATACATTTTTGTAGGTAAAAGTGAAAGAGCAGCTGATTTTACTGTTCTCATGTCCATATGTTGACACTCCAGCTATAATGAGTGAACCTAAACGTTCCTCTTTCAGCGCACAAAAGACAGTGGAAGGGAATAGAGCTATGAAAGGGGTAGAGGAGTTGATTTGCTCACCCTGACAACCAAATGAAGGCGGGTGGGGGGCAGGGGCACCTCATGGCTTTTTGGCTTGGTACAATAAGGAAAGCCTGGCCGTCTTAACCCCAGTGACATCCCTGTTGTCGATGGGTCAAATCCTTGAATATCAATGAAGTGACTTTGTGGCCCTTGCAGTGGTCTTCAAACAGTGTCTGGCTCATATAAACTGCTGCACTGCTCTCTGACCTTTCACCACATTCATTTACAAAAAAATGTAGTTAAACAAGCCTGCAGTAAGTGACCAGTGGGGACGAGGACACAGCCGCTCACTTGACACTGGGGAAAAAAATAATTTTGTAATGAAAAACAGATTATGGTCAACTGATTTGAGCTATTAATCCCTTGTGATGTAAATAAACTAATCTCTGTAACATTTGCTCTCAATACTACTGAAGAGCGGTTGAGAAGTTTCCAATATAGTAGTATATATTGGCCTAGTTTGCAATGTTTGGACGTCAATGGTCCCTT